CACCAGGAGGCTTTGTGTTGCAAGTCATTAAAGATGGATAACGTCATGAAGGTGGTCATCCAAACTGTTAATTTCATCCGATCCAGAAGCCTGAATCACCGTCAGTTTGACAGCCTTCTCAGAGAGAAAGACCACATCTATGGCCTGCCATACCACACTGAGGTAAGATGGTTAAGCCGAGGTGCTGTGCTGAGGCGTTTCTTTGATTTACGAGAAGAAATTGAACAGTTCATGGAAGAAAAGGGCAAACCAGTGTTAGAATTTCATTCTGCAGAATGGATGCCGGACCTTGCATTTATGGTGGATGTTACAGAGCACCTGAATAACTTGAACAAACAGCTGCAAGGGCGCAACAAAGTTGTCAAGCAGTATTATGACAGCATACGTTCTTTCAAGTTGAAGCTGTCATTGTGGGAGACGCAACTTGCCGGTGGTGATGCAGCTCACTTCCCCTGTCTGAAAAATGTGTGCGCGACCCAACATGTGGCAGACATGAAGCGGTTCAAAGATAAAATAACTGGACTGTTACGGGAGTTTGAGCAACGCTTTCAGATTTATGTTTATATGTTTATATGTTGATGTGCTATTGTTTTTAATTGATTTTATTTTATTTGTATATTTAACCTATTCTTGACTCTGTGGTTCTTGCACTTGTTTGGGGAACAGGATTTCATTATTTTTATCTACATTTCTGCCTGAGAAATGACACCCTGATATAGTTCTGTGAAACAGTTCTGTTAATCACTGAGGCATTGTGTGTTTGTGTGTTCTTTTTCTTTAGAATTTTCAAATAAACTTGACGTGTTTTATGATTAATAGTGATGTTGTGCTTGTACTATTTTGGACACACTGTCCTCAGGCTCCAGCTTTATGTTGTATGTTGATCGTATTAAAACAAAGAAAACAATCTGAAGTTGTTGTTTTTAAGTTATATATACACCATGATTTTTCCGGTCCGGCCCACTTGGGAATAGATTTTCCTCCATGTGGCCCCTGAGCTAAAATGAGTTTGACACCCCTGATCCAGATGGTCATTGGCAAACTTCAGACGGGCCTGGACATGCGCTGGCTTGAGCAGAGGGACCTTGCGTGCGCTGCAGGATTTTAATCCATGACCGTGTAGTGTGTTACTAATGGTTTTCTTTGAGACTGTGGTCCCAGCTCTCTTCAGGTCATTGACCAGGTCCTGCTGTGTAGTTCTGGGCTGATCCCTCACCTCCTCATGATCATTGATGCCCCACGAGGTGAGATCTTGCATGGAGCCCCAGACCGAGGGTGATTGACCGTCATCTAGAACTTCTTCCATTTTCTAATAATTGCGCCAAAAGTTGTTGCCTTCTCACCAAGCTGCTTGCCTATTGTCCTATAGCCCATCCCAGCCTTGTGCAGGTCTACAATTTTATCCCTGATGTCCTTACACAGCTCTCTGGTCTTGGCCATTGTGGAGAGGTTGGAGTCTGTTTGATTGAGTGTGTGGACAGGTGTCTTTTATACAGGTAACGAGTTCAAACAGGTGCAGTTAATACAGGTAATGAGTGGAGAACAGGAGGGCTTCTTAAAGAAAAACGAACAGGTCTGTGAGAGCCGGAATTCTTAATGGTTGGTAGGTGATCAAATACTTATGTCATGCAATAAAATGCAAATTAATTGCTTAAAAATCATACAATGTGATTTTATGGATTTTTGTTTTAGATTCCTTCTCTCACAGTTGAAGTGTACCTATGATAAAAATTACAGACCTCTACATGCTTTGTAAGTAGGAAAACCTGCAAAATCCGCAGTGTATCAAATACAGTGGGGAAAAAAAGTATTTAGTCAGCCACCAATTGTGCAGGTTCTCCCACTTAAAAGAAAATCACATTGTAGGATTTTTTATGAATTTATTTGCAAATTATGGTGGAAAATAAGTATTTGGTCACCTACAAACAAGCAAGATTTCTGGCTCTCACAGACCTGTAACTTCTTCTTTAAGAGGCTCCTCTATCCTCCACTCGTTACCTGTATTAATGGCACCTGTTTGAACTTGTTATCAGTATAAAAGACACCTGTCCACAACCTCAAACAGTCACACTCCAAACTCCACTATGGCCAAGACCAAAGAGCTGTCAAAGGACACCAGAAACAAAAGTGTAGACCTGCACCAGGCTGGGAAGACTGAATCTGCAATAGGTAAGCAGCTTGGTTTGAAGAAATCAACTGTGGGAGCAATTATTAGGAAATGGAAGACATACAAGACCACTGATAATCTCCCTTGATCTGGGGCTCCACGCAAGATCTCACCCCGTGGGGTCAAAATGATCACAAGAACGGTGAGCAAAAATCCCAGAACCACACTGGGGGACCTAGTGAATGACCTGCAGAGAGCTGGGACCAAAGTAACAAAGCCTACCATCAGTAACACACTACGCCATCAGGGACTCAAATCCTGCCGTGCCAGACGTGTCCCCCTGCTTAAGCCAGTACATGTCAAGGCCCGTCTGAAGTTTGCTAGAGTGCATTTGGATGATCCAGAAGAGGATTGGGAGAATGTCATATGGTCAGATGAAACCAAAATATAACTTTTTGGTAAAAACTCAACTCGTCGTGTTTGGAGGACAAAGAATGCTGAGTTGCATCCAAAGAACACCATACCTACTGTGAAGCATGGGGGTGGAAACATCATGCTTTGGGGCTGTTTTTCTGCAAAGGGACCAGGACGACTGATCCGTGTAAAGGAAAGAATGAATGGGGCCATGTATCGTGAGATTTTGAGTGAAAACCTCCTTCCATCAGCAAGGGCATTGAAGATGAAACGTGGCTGGGTCTTTCAGCATGACAATGATCCCAAACACACCGCCCGGGAAACGAAGGAGTGGCTTCGTAAGAAGCATTTCAAGGTCCTGGAGTGGCCTAGCCAGTCTCCAGATCTCAACCCCATAGAAAATCTTTGGAGGGAGTTGAAAGTCCGTGTTGCCCAGCGACAGCCCCAACACATCACTGCTCTAGAGGAGATCTGCATGGAGGAATGGGCCAAAATACCAGCAACAGTGTGTGAAAACCTTGTGAAGACTTACAGAAAACGTTTGACCTGTGTCATTGCCAACAAAGGGAATATAACAAAGTATTGAGAAACTTTTGTTATTGACCAAATACTTATTTTCCACCATAATTTGCAAATAAATTCATAAAAAATCCTACAATGTGATTTTCTGTATTCTTTTTCTTCTCATTTTGTCTGTCATAGTTGACGTGTACCTATGATGAAAATTACAGGCCTCTCTCATCTTTTTAAGTGGGAGAACTTGCACAATTGGTGGCTGACTAAATACTTTTTTTCCCCACTGTACTTGTTCTCCCCACTGTATGTCTTACACCGTGCATCACACCAGAGCCCAACCGGTAAACACTACAATTTGGGGATAATGTCATTATCTAGTGAGAAAGAGAGGGCAGGCCGAGCCAGAAAGAGAACAGTGATTTCTGCTTCACTTGTCTGTGAAGCTCTCTCTCGTTAAGTGAAAGCAGTAATGGTTCTTGGCGGCTTGATAAACAGAGCAAAATGCCACTCAGGAGCAGACACTGAATGTGCCAAGTCAACTCATTTGTCTGGCAGACAGTGCCTTGGATCACATGGATCAACAGTATTATTATTATTATTATTACAGCTGTGTTGACAAGACATGGACATAAATCAGACATGTTGCATAAATAACACCATATCACACATGAAGGTAGCCCACCATCTCTACTAATATCCATTTCAGACAGGAAACGTCACGTATTCATTTAACCATTTATTAGTCTTGGCTCCGTCGGGGTAGCTCACTGCCAGAGCATACATAATAATTACAAGCAGTGAGCAAGGTATGCTATATCAATCCCCGAAACAGGTGGAGGCTGGGGTGGGAAAACACCAGCGCATAGCTTGCGCGTGGCAGCCATCAGAGAATGTGTGAGCAGAACCTGGTCAACTAAATTGACTGCCATATTAAGGTAGAGTGATGCATCTAATTGGTGCAATATCATGTGTTTCCAGATTGAGGAAGAAATTGTACTCAGCAGATTTAGTGTTTAGTGTTCCATAAAGGCTTACTCATTTCGATTCACATACTGTTGCTGCTGTAGCTACACAAATCCCACTTGGCTGATCATAGGCTGAGCCAGTATGGGCGACGTGCTGATCAATTTTACATTCTGAGATATTATTGTGCACGGGGACACATATACACATGCACGCACGCACACCAGCGACTACCATTGATCATCAATTATTCCCAGCAGTCAATGCAGCTCCAGCCCCTTTCCCTCCAACTCTTCACCCAGGTAAACATTCATCTTATGATTCACAACACAGCAGTGTGCAGTACTGCACCACACAACACCACACAGACTCCCTCCAAAGATGTCTGCCCGCATTATCCTCCGCTTATTCCACTAACAATCCCCAGCCCTATTAAACTACATCACTAATTACAACTCCTCGCAGCTTAACAGAGCCCAACAAAGCTACTCATTATGGGATGTCCCTGAAGGTGACAAATTATTTAAATTACATTTATTAAATTGGAAAATGATAAACAGCGGAGCGGGCAGGGAGCCCGTGGGGGGCCATCAGCCGGCTGGGCCCTCTCTGCTCTGGGCTTCCTAGCAGCTGGGCACACATGCTGGGGGGGATCGTCAGGCCGAGTGGAGAGTGGGGCCCTTGGCACTCGGCCCTCACCTCCCTGTGGGCCACTGATTACAATTAGCCAAATGTGACAGGGAGAGTCAGTGGGAGAGAGCCACCAGAGCCACATAGGAACAGTAGGGTGTACGGCTGCAGGTCAGGTACATATAAGTTAAACCGCATGGAACAGAATATCTCAATGTCAAAGGCCCAGTGGACAGTGTGCCTATACAAGCTGCAATTTACATGTTGATAGATTCAGTGCCACAGAAACATTACTCTACAGGGCTAGCCTGCTACAGTACACTGATTTACTCATCAGACAGATCTTAACATGAGTGGATTTTACAAGGGACTATACAGTAAATATACAGTGTGGTATACATAAAGGCAGACTTACCTTTACTTGGCCCACAAAAGAGTTGGCCTCCTCCTCTGTAACTGTTACGTTTTGGGGCATGAGTGGATCGAAGACGGGGTCATTATCGTTGACATCAGTGACCACAATATTCACAGTAGCCGTGGAGGTCTGGAAGCACAGAATAAAAACAACACAATTATTGATCTCCGTTTTGAGCAAAGCCTCTAGCAAGAGCAAATCAGTGGGAGTTCTTTCTCTTTCTAAAACAGTAGCTTAAAACCACAGCAAAGTTCTCTGTATGTCACGATTTAATAAATGCAATGTAATTCTTAAACTCTTTAATCAAATAATACATTTGGTTTCATCATTCAGGGCCAGGGTGAATTTTCATCAACAAATCCACTTGTTTCCTGATTAACTGCTACAACTCTTCCTACAGCTCTTGCAATAATGATGATATATTTGCATTCGCCATCATGTGATGGATGACAAATCTCCTCAGCTTTAGGTGAATTCGCATTTTTGTGTTTGATATGACAACGAGATGCTCCCAAACCAAACACATTTAGTTTTAGGTTCTTTTAGACTGTGCATCTTGTGAAAATGTTCACTTGATTAACAAAACTACTGAGCCGTATAGATATAGCATCTCTTCAGAAACCAGCATATATCGTGAAGAGGGCACGACCAAAGCCTATTCCCCCTCAGGAGACTGAAAAGATTTGGCATGGGTCCTCAGATCCTCAAAAGGTTATACAGCTGTACCATCGAGAGCATCCTGACTGGCTGCATCACTGCCTGGTATGACAACTGCTCTGCCTCCGACCGCAAGGCACTACAGTGGATAGTGCGAACGGTCCAGTACATCACTGAGGCCAAGCTTCCTGCCATCCAGGACCTCTATACCAGGCAGTGTCAGAGGAAGGCCCTAAATACAGTGGGGGAAAAAAGTATTTAGTCAGCCACCAATTGTGCAAGTTCTCTCACTTAAAAAGATGAGAGAGGCCTGTAATTTTCATCATAGGTACACGTCAACTATGACAGACAAAATGAGAATTTTTTTTCCAGAAAATCACATTTTAATGAATTTATTTGCAAATTATGGTGGAAAATAAGTATTTGGTCAATAACAAAAGTTTCTCAATACTTTGTTATATACCCTTTGTTGGCAATGACACAGGTCAAACGTTTTCTGTAAGTCTTCACAAGGTTTTCACACACTGTTGCTGGTATTTTGGCCCATTCCTCCATGCAGATCTCCTCTAGAGCAGTGATTGATGTTTTGGGGCTGTCGCTGGGCAACACGGACTTTCAACTCCCTCCAAAGATTTTCTATGGGGTTGAGATCTGGAGACTGGCTAGGCCACTCCAGGACCTTGAAATGCTTCTTACGAAGCCACTCCTTCGTTGCCCGGACGGTGTGTTTGGGATCATGCTGAAAGACCCAGCCACATTTCATCTTCAATGCCCTTGCTGATGGAAGGAGGTTTTCACTCAAAATCTCACGATACATGGCCCCATTCACTCTTTCCTTTACACGGATCAGTCGTCCTGGTCCCTTTGCAGACAAACAGCCCCAAAGCATGATGTTTCCACCCCCATGCTTCACAGTAGGTATGGTGTTCTTTGGATGCAACTCAGCATTCTTTGTCCTCCAAACACGACGAGTTGAGTTTTTACCAAAAAGTTCTATTTTGGTTTCATCTGACCATATGACATTCTCCCAATCCTCTTCTGGATCATCCAAATGCACTCTAGCAAACTTCAGACGGGCCTGGACATGTACTGGCTTAAACAGGGGGACACGTCTCGCACTGCAGGATTTGAGTCCCTGGCGGCGTAGTGTGTTACTGATGGTAGGCTTTGTTACTTTGGTCCCAGCTCTCTGCAGGTCATTCACTAGGTCCCCCCGTGTGGTTCTGGGATTTTTGCTCACCGTTCTTGTGATCATTTTGACCCCACGGGGTGAGATCTTGCGTGGAGCCCCAGATCGAGGGAGATTATCAGTGGTCTTGTATGTCTTCCATTTCCTAATAATTGCTCCCACAGTTGATTTCTTCAAACCAAGCTGCTTACCTATTGCAGATTCAGTCTTCCCAGCCTGGTGCAGGTCTACAATTTTGTTTCTGGTGTCATTTGACAGCTCTTTGGTCTTGGCCATAGTGGAGTTTGGAGTGTGACTGTTTGAGGTTGTGGACAGGTGTCTTTTATACTGATAACAAGTTCAAACAGGTGCCATTAATACAGGTAACGAGTGGAGGACAGAGGAGCCTCCTAAAGAAGAAGTTACAGGTCTGTGAGAGACAGAAATCTTGCTTGTTTGTAGGTGACAAAATACTTATTTTCCACCATAATTTGCAAATAAATTCATTAAAAATCCTACAATGTGATTTTCTGGATTTTTGTTTCTCAATTTGTCTGTCATAGTTGACGTGTACCTATGATGAAAATTACAGGCCTCTCTCATCTTTTTAAGTGGGAGAACTTGCACAATTGGTGGCTGACTAAATACTTTTTTTACCCACTTTATTGTCAAAGACTCCAGCCACCCTAGTCATAGACTGTTCTCTCTGCTACCGCACGGCAAGCGGTACCGGAGCACCAAGTCTAGGTCTAAAAGGCTTCTTAACAGCTTCTACCCCCAAGCCATTAGACTCCTGAACAGCTAATCAAATGGCTACCCAGACTATTTGCATTGTATACCCCAATTTAGAATATGGCTGTGACGTAACTAAATGTTGAAAAAGTCAAGGGGTCTGAATACTTTCCAAAGGCACTGTATGTGTCTTTTTCGGAGGGGTTGGGTTAAAAGCAGAAGTCAAATTTCGGTTGGACCTTGTGTGCAATTGAACAATAAAGTGATCTTAAATATAACCTTTTTTTCAAACCTCTTATAAAGTTGGATTTAAAGCACAAACTGCAAATGTGATATTTTAGACCAATATAATGATTGTCTGTTTGTTTAATTTCTGCAAAGTAGTTAAAACGGTGTCAATTCCACTTTAAGCCTGCTGGCTATAGAGGTGTGGTATTTAAAAGCCAATACTTCAGTGTGGAAAGTTCATCTGTACATTACCCATCACCGTGCCAACTTCTCTTCAACTTAAAGTGCTCCTGAACCATTACCAGACCGTGGGAGGAAGGAATAGTGATCACTGCTGGTCATCTAACATCTCAGCCCTTAAAGGTTTAAGCTGTGATCTGTGACGCTACAGACTGACTGGGTGTGTTCTTACTGACTCACTTTCACAAATATGATGGATTCTCCAATTAGCTAGTTTTTAGGCTGGCAGTATCAGAGCAGAACATTTAATAAGGCTCTGGGCCATCATGTTGATGCTGATTAATGAGGTCTGTGACTGATCACAAAGACTAAAGCCCCCAATCTCCTCCTTTATGAAGAAATTGGGACCATCAAACAAAACACATCCAAACAGGACAATTTCTCATTGAATGACCAGATAATACAGTAATTGTCAGAGCCAGACAGATGGTTACATCATTCAGAGGTTCTCTGTATTTTGTCCAACAGCCCAACAACTCACCATACAAAAAGAAAACCAACCAATTACAGCACAGAATAAATTAGAAACCTGTGGGTCGTTAGGCAGATATAGCTATAGCTAATTCCTTAGTGGTGGCTCAAATCAGGCCGTACATTAGAGCACTAGCCTACGGGGATGACTAAAACGCCATTAGCCCACACACAGGGCTTCCCTTCATGAGAGGGAGAACGGAGGAGAGAACAGTGTGCAGGTGTGCCCTCACAGCAGGTAGCCCCTTCACTTTGCATCATCCCTTCCTAATGTCTAACTTCCTCATTCTCTTCTCTGCATTAGCTTTGAAAGAACATCAAAGACATTCCTTCCCACCACAACACACCCAGAGGAATGCAAAAGTGAGGAATAATCCAAACTAAAATAAAAATGAGGATGTGTGTTATTTTCTGCTGTTTTGTAATGTCAGAAAGAGCATTTGAAAGGAGCTGCGATTCTTCATGATGTGTAACTTCATGATGCAAAACATCTATGCACTGCTTGAAATATCTACTTGGAGCGAGGAGGTAATGAGTGAATTGAACAAATACATTTGACATTCAGCACTATTGCTTTGACATGAAAACAATGGTGCACAGCATGTGCACTATGGAAAAGGTAAACACTCATGCTTTGTTTAGGACCAAAACTGCAGTGTCTCTTTAAAGTGGTAATCAGCAGTAGAAACAATAACAAAGCATACTCCCCGCCCCCGTTTAGAAAAATGCTGAGGGATGGGGTTGGAGAATGTGACCACTCTCAAATTCATAGACCGAGCTATGGATGCAAGGACTGACCATCCATGATATCAAAATTATAGTCTTAACCATGTTTTGAGGCTATATAGTGTTTGTTTACATTTAGTTTGTTTATAAACATTGGAGTAAAAAAGCTTATATTTGGGGTTTTGATGGGGTACGACAGTTGAAGTAAGCTCATGACGCATTTACAGTGGCTTGCGAAAGTATTCACCCCCCTTGGCATTTTTCCTATTTTGTTGCCTTACAACCTGTAATTAAAATGGATTTTTTGGGGGTTTGTATCATTTGATTTACACATGCCTACCACTTTGAAGGAGCAAAATAACTTGAGCGTGCATAACCATTCACCCCCCCCCCCCAAAAGTCAATACTTTGTAGGGCCACCTTTTGCAGCAATTACAGCTGAAAGTCTCTTGGGGTATGTCTCTATAAACTTCGCACATCTAGCCACTGGGATTTTTGCCCATTCTTCAACGCAAAACTGCTCCAGCTCCTTCAAGTTGGATGGGTTCCGCTGGTGTACAGCAATCTTTAAGTCATACCACAGATTCTCAATTGGATTGAGGTCTGGGCTTTGACTAGGCCATTCCAATACCTTTAAATGTTTCCCCTTATACCACTCAAGTGTTGCTTTAGCAGTATGCTTAGGGTCATTGTCCTGCTGGAAGGTGAACCTCCATCCAAGTCTCAAATCTCTGGAAGATTGAAACAGGTTTCCCTCAAGAATTTCCCTGTATATAGCACCATCCATCATTCCTTCAATTCTGACCAGTTTCCCAGTCCCCGCCGATGAAAAACATCCCCACAGCATGATTCTGCCACCACCATGCTTCACTGGATGGTGTTCTCGGGGTGATGAGAGGTGTTGGTTTTGCGCCAGACATAGTGTTTTCCTTGATGGCCAAAAAGCTCAATTTTAGTCTCATCTGACCAGAGTACCTTCTTCCATATGTTTGGGGAGTCTCCCACATGCCTTTTGGCGAACACCAAACGTGTTTGCTTATTTTTTTCTTTAAGCAATGGCTTTTTTCTGGCCACTCTTCCGTAAAGCCCAGCTCTGTGGAGTGTACGGCTTAAAGTGGTCCTATGGTCAGATACTCCAATCTCCACTGTGGTGCTTTGCAGCTCCTTCAGGGTTATCTTTGGTCTCTTTGTTGCCTCTCTGATTAATGCCCTCCTTGCCTGGTCTGTGAGTTTTGGTGGGCGGCCCTCTCTTGGCAGGTTTGTTGTGGTGCCATATTCTTTCCATTTTTTAATAATGGATTTAATGGTGCTCCTTGGGATGTTCAAAGTTTCTGATCTTTTTTTATAACCCAACCCTGATCTGTACTTCGCCACAACTTTGTCCCTGAGCTGTTTGGAGAGCTCCTTGATCTTCATGGTGCCGCTTGCTTGGTGGTGCCCCTTGCTTAGTGGTGTTGCAGACTCTGGGGCCTTTCAGAACAGGTGTATATATACTGAGATCATGTGACAGATCATGTGACACTTAGATTGCACACAGGTGGACTTTATTTAACTACTTATGTGACTTCTGAAGGTAATTGGTTGCACCAGATCTTATTTAGGGGCTTCATAGCAAAGGGGGTGAATACATATGCACGCACCACTTTTCCGTTATTAATTTTTTTTTGAATTTTTTGAAACAATTCACGTCCATTACATGAAATCCAAATAAAAATCCATTTAAATTACAGGTTGTAATGCAACAAAATAGGAAAAACGGCAAGGGGGATGAATACTTTTGCAAGGCGCTGTATAAGTCAAATTCTTCAAGAATCAATGGGTACATATAATTAATTTATGTCCAAAAATGGATGTAACAACTGATGATTGCCCCTTTAAGACCAAATAGTACAACCAGTATTTATCAGCTATAACAGAGTGTTATCTGACACCTCTGATATGACTGTATAATAGATACTGTCTGTCTCCCTCCCTCTCATGTGGGCCTCGTCAGATAATATTGTCTGGCCCCGGGCCCTCCAGGCCCCTATGGCACACCTGCTGGGGCCTAGAGAAACACACGCCCCATCCAATAGGCAACATTACCAGGAAGGGAGGTCAAGCAGTTCTGGAGCGTCAGGTAAAGTGATGTGTGTGCGTGCGTCTGTGTGTGTGCGTATGTTGTGTGTGTGTGTGTGTGTGTGTGGTGCCTCCTAAGCCAAATAGCCTTTCCTAGTCCCTACAGGACTGTTTATTAGCTTGGCTAATGACCAGCTGATTTGGAAAGGTCAATGAAATTTAAAGGCCTCAGTCTCTGCATTTACCCTACCCGCTCAGGCTGCAGTTTAAACGTTGCTCAATGTTTTATAGAATAAGTGGAATCTTGGAGGGCACAGAGGGGAGGCGAATGCTGGCGAGCACAGGGGAGTTAGGTTTTACTGGTACTCACTGTCCGCTGTCTCATTTTACTTGCATGAGACAACCAACCACACTGGACTACTCTTTTAAGGAGAGGAAGAGAGTTCCCCTCTCCACTAGGAGAGAGAGACCAGCTCTGAAACGATTGGCCAATTAAGGTGGCTAGTGATTAAATCTAGGGGGAGGTGCTTCAGGTATCAGAGTGTGTCAGAAGAGAGACATTTGTATTCATTTCCATAAAGGTCAGCGCGGTGACGTGTCACACCTGCATTAAATATGCCGGCGCTGGCATCAAAGAGAATAATGTCAAATGAATCTGTCCACTGGCTTCCTTGTTAAGTGTGTGAAATGGAAAGAGATGTTTTGGACATGGGGATATGCAACAACAAGGCAAAGGTTTTGCCGTCATTAGAGTGATGTAGGTGATTGCATCAAAGGTTTTTGAGATTATTCACATTTTCTCAACACTGGATACAACCTTTAAAGATGTCCATGATTGATGACAAATACTGATATTACATTATCAGACTGCACATTTTAATCAACCCTGATTTTCACCTAATAACCCCCGTTACTGATATGCAAAATGTGTTCCTTGTTATTATCATTTACAGTACATAAATCACTGCTACTCCAGTTTGGCCAGGATCCCATCAAAACAATGGACTGCAGACCTCAAACACAGTGAATAGGGCTAGCTACACAACCTGCTATAGACTTAACTGAATGGATAGAATAGATGAATGAACACAATAAATTGATTGATGGTGAGACAGCACACAAATGAATGGATAAATGAAAGAATTTATGAAGGAGATTAGATTAATGGAATGGATGATGGATAGAAGGACAATTGGCGCATGCTTACTCCTTCTGGATGGCCATCTGAGGCTGTTACAACGAGAGTGTAGCGATCCTCTGTCTCCCTGTCCAGCGGTTTCCCCAGGACCAACAGCCCTGACCTGTGGAGAAGAGACAGAGACACGGTGGTTCACCAGAACACAACATACTCACATCACTCAATACAGTCCATTTGCAGCTTTAGTGAAACTTTCCCAATCACTCTGCTTCCCACTGAGCCAGAAGCTTTCAGGGTTTCTAAATCAAACAGATCTCACGTAGAGATAAACAATCCCCCACAACATTTATAATGGGGGTTTACATAAATCTGGCTATTCAATTACATGCACGTCGGATACTGTGGGGCATGTGGCCACCCAAGCACATTAGAATGAAATGGAAGCGCCTTCTCTCGTTCTGCCGACAGAGGAGAGTTATATGTCGGCACTTTGGCAAGCTACTGTAGCCTAGCACACACACGTACTTTATAGAATTTACAGTGCAAGGTCATTTGGTGTGGGGTAATCTTGGCATGCATACAGCAGTGGTGTCCGCCCTCTCACAGAGTGATCCCTGAGTGTTTAAATGCATGGGATGATTATCTGCTGTCAGCTCTACACTCTTAGAAAAAATGGGTTAGAAAAGGGTTATTCAGCTGTCCCCATAGTAGAACGCTTTTTGGTTCCAGGTAGAACCATTTTTGGTTCCAGGAAGAGCCCTTTTGGGTTCCACGTAGAACCCTCTGTGAAAAGGGTTCTACCTGGAATCCAAAAGGGTTCTACCTATAACAAAAAAGGGTTCTCCTATTGGGACAGCCGAATAACCATTTTAGGTTCTAGATAGCACCTTTCTTTCTGTCTGCTACAGCTCTCAGAGATGGGCCCAAACTAGAGGGGAATGTACAGCCACCTAAGGAAACACGTCTACAACCACGCATCTCGATTTTCCCTCAACTTTTCTGATGGTTACTCACTAGCAATCATTTAGACACGCATTCATCAGAAATTAGAAGTTTTTTAATGCAGCATTTCTAACTGTTCATAATCAGACTTTTCTAAGAGGCCTGGTACACACATCCTAAGAGGGATAAGAGCTCTGTGAGGACCATAGTGGACTGATATGCCCCTGTTAAAATTAATTAGACAAATGCAAAGCGGCACCTCAAATGCTGCCGCCACGACTCTCATGTATATTTATGAGCTCTTCATAGAGAGCATTGTCTCTACGCGCACTCACGCCCGCACACACACACACAATCATCCTCCCAAGGATGATGATAACGCCAAGCTGAAATGAAATATCATGATTATTAGCAGCTGGAAACACAAACTGGATCAGATCCAGCCTGTGAGAGAACATCATTCACAAGGATGTTGTTTTGAAGTGCTGAATAACTAAGAGAGTATTAAAGAAGATATCATCTGAGGCCCACTAAGAGGCAACACAGAGCAGAGGTTATTCAACAGATTGTGATCTGTAAGGCCTACCCGTTGTTGGCGCTAAACTGGCGATGAGGTGCAGGTCTCTGATCTCAACCACCTCTACAGCTGACTTAAAGTCTTGACATTCTGAAGTTTTAGATCTAATACAAAGCAATCGAATGGGTAACTTGTAAAACTGTCTTGTAAATAATCAACTCCTTCATTATACCAGTAGGATAAAAATAGCTTTCTTCGAATGAAACTGATAAATATGCAAGAACTGGCTCAGTAGTATGACAATGGGGATAAAATGGGTTATGATAGGCACGTGAATCTATCGGGATGTATCCATTAATAGGGGCTATATAAGGGGATACATTTTAGCTCATCTGCTCTAGGACTGAGGAGCTAGGGCCTTTCCTATCCATTAGACTGTATCCCCCTGTATCACCTTGGCACATTCCCCTCCTTACTTCCCCAGTCTTGTCCCCTACTGTTTTCATTTGCCTCTTTATTGAGGAGACAGAGACAGGCGCAGGTCTTATTAACATTTCATAGTTGTGTATGCAATTTCCTGGACCTGACAGTCTGCAACAGGAGACGCATGATGACAATTTGGAGCTTTGATTGAAGTGGCCTCCGGTAGCATAGTTATGACTGCATGGCAATGTGCTGGTTATTGCAGAGAAAAACAGAGAGAGAGAGAGAGAGAGAGAGAGAGAGAGAGAGAGAGAGAGAGAGAGAGAGAGAGAGAGAGAGAGAGAGAGAGAGAGAGCAGAGAAAAGAGAGAGAGCACATGGATAGCTCTTAGAGGTCTTCACGGGTCCAACCAAACCCGAATACCCGAGACAAGACCCAAGTGGGTTCGGGTCAAAAATTCTAACTTGCCCCTCAGGTCCGGGTCGTGTCCTGTTTGCTATCAGGTCACGGGTCTATGTAACTAGAGCTGATAGACCCGAGTGGATCCGAATGGACCCAACCACGGCTCTGCATAGCCTATAGCATATTTATTTTATGCTAATAAGGAACATTTATTGACTTATAGAAGGTCTAGCCAACATATAAAGACATATTTGTTAACCAAAAGAGCAACTCGCTAGGTAGCCTAGCGGTTAAGAGCATTGGGCCAGTAACCGAAAGGCCGCTGGTTCAAATCTCAGAGCCGACTAGGTAAAAAACTCTGTCGATGTGCCCTTGAGCAAGGCACTTAACCCTAATTGCGCCTGTAAGTCGCTCTGGATAAGAGCGTCTGCTAAATGACAAAACATTTTAAAAAACATATTTTTTTTGTACAATCGGGTTTGGGTATGGGTCGGGTCCAGGTTCGGTTGTAGTCGGGTCCATTCGGGTTCGGGTCTGATTGTTCTCGGGTCCGGGTCCCCATTTTTTAAATACAATTATCGGGTCCATTCAGGGCCATGTCTGATTGTCCTCGGGTCCGTTCGAGTCCGGGTCCAACTTTCTGGACCTGAGAAGACATCTAATAGCTCTACTCCAAAGTCTCAGGGAGAAGGCTTGCTTTGCCGCTAACCATACAATAGTGCTCTCTAAAAAAATCACAGCAAATCTTATTGCAGACTTGGATTAAATCTATGAAATTGTAAGAGGAAATATTTACTCCAAGCCAAGGCACTAATATTTTTCCCGCCAATACCAAAAGTGAAGCTCAGAGTAACCTTGGGACTACTACTGTATAATCTGATATTTGATCTGTTTATCAAACTGGGAGAGAATTGTTTTGGTTTTAATTCATTTATCACTTATTAATGATGTATTTGAGATGCTAGGGAGAATCGTATCTACATTTTCAGCCCCTGGTGTCTTGCGGAGAGCTTCTGAGAGAGCAATTCAGTTTACTACATATCACATATCATGGCAAAACACTATCCAAAACCCTTTCGCCAAATCGACTCCTCTGTAACAGGGTAATACTATTGCTGGCAAAGTTTCATGGATAAATCCTCTACGATAATATAGGTAGTGTTGTTGATGACTAAAATAAGCTTACGTACGTTTGGGAGAGCTCAAAGAGATGGTGGGGATCTCCGCTCTGGATGCTGTAGGAAATAGGATCTCTTTCACGGTCCTTCGCCTGTAAAGACACAGAGACAGAGAGCCTCTTTCATGTCAATTCAAACCCAATTTCACAACAAACAATGAATAATACTGAATGACTTGACTCAGCAGTATCCAGTCCATTTCTACTTGATGCATTACAAACAATAGTTTGGTAGCATTAGTGGACAACAATACAGTAATGACGTCTACAGTCTGAGTGGTATACAGAATATACAGTAACACTGGTAACTGTCTCAGTCGCTTTTGGTACAGACTAAATAGGAGCTATTGTTAGGAGCTCATCAGCTGTATACACTACATGTTCTGAAGCAGATCCCACCGCTGCCACCAAATGTCACACTCTAGATAGAGTTCAGAGTACATGCTTGGTCTGTACTAAAGAACAGTGTGGTATTGTGAAGAAGCCTTGTCCCCAGGCTCACCTGCAGGTGGAGGAGAGTGGCTCCGGTCCTCATGGCCTCACTGACCTCCAGGCTGTAGAGGAAGCGGGGAAAGCGTGGGGGGCTCTGGTTGTTGGGGGGGAGCACCTCAATGTACACCGTGGTGATGGAGCTCCTGGGAGGGGAGATAAGGAAGGGGGATGGGGTGTATTTTAATTCTGGTGAAAAACGAATCCATGTGAAAAACCCTGATGAAGGCTGAGGGCTGAAAATCACTTTTATCAAATTTAACTGTCCTCCAAGAGCTTCACTTCTGAAAAACAGAGACTGTGGGAGGGTTTTGTTTACAGTATGACAATTGGTGTGTGGGATGTAGGGTACACACACATGCAAAGATATTGGTTGTAGGTGTTTGTTTTGGGTTTGGTGGGTGTGTTTTGCAAGAAAATCTATACGACTTTAGATTAAAACGCTGGTTGGTGCCTCCCGAGTGGCACAGCGGTCTAAGGCATTGCATCGCAGTGTTGCGGCATCACTACAGCCTGGGGTTCGATCCCAGGCTGTGTCATTACTGGCCATGACCGGGAGTCCCATAGGGCGGCGCACAATTGGCCAAGCATCGTCCGGATTAGGGGAGGGTTTGGCCGGGGGGGTTTTACTTGGCTCATCGCGCTCTAGTGACTCCTTGTGGCGGGCCGGGTGCCTGCAGGCTGACTTCGGTCGTCAGTTGAACAGTGTTTCCTCCGACACAGCTGGTTCCGGGTTAAGCGAGTGGGTGTTAAGACGTGCGGTTTGGCCTGTCATGTTTCGGAGGACGCATGACTCAACCTTTGCCTCTCCTGAGCCCGTTGGGGTTGAGACAAGATTGTAATCACGAAATAAAATATACATTAAAAAAAGCTGGTTGGTACCGTACGTAGGCTGAAATCCATAGTTGGTGAAACTGCCACGTCTGTTTGCGATATTACAACAGCAAAGAAATTACTTTGCACTGTTTTTTCACTCGGACATCATTGCACGCGCGATAGAACAGCAGAATATGTACTGCTAGTTTGTTTTACCATGATGCTGGATGCTCTTCTCCTCTGTTTCATCAACAAAAACAATAACAAAGGCCTTGACGGATTTCATCTTTACATTTGTTTTAGATACTGGGAGATGATTTATGTGGTATAATCTGTAGCCTAGAGAGATTTGATTCAATGGTACATCAAAACTTTTGAGATTGTTTATTTTAGATTTTCTAAAACAACCTCTAACCTTGAACAAGGGACTTCACTAGAGACTCCTTGCTCATTTAAATCACATTTGTGTACAGAACATTAAGCCCCAAGTGTCTGCGTCGGGCCTGAACATAAAAATAATTGAATGATTACAGCCAATTTTACAAGTCGATTTTAGAGAGACATATGGGGGACTTTTTAAGACTGTTATTTCAATACTTTTTCACACAGGGGCATGAATTAAAACCTGTAAAACATTAATCAAATGGTTTTAATGGATCAGCAGCATGTTGTGATCCTGGACATGCTACAAACGGAGCCCTGTAAATCCAAGTCAAGGCCAACTCTCCCTCTGCTAAAACTTTGAAACTGAGCAGTTACATTTTTCTATTTTTTTCTCTGGGTTTTCAACCGTCCATGGGTGGGGCTCCATCTGGCCAATGCAAATAATTACACACCTGCTGCCTTTGCTATTATCAGTATTTATTTTCCTGCTCGACAAGATGGCGCTCCAGACTTTTACGTGGTTCCCAGTCATTGGAAACGTATTCACACTCCTAATAATCATCACAGTTTTATATTGTGTCTCAGTCCTTGACTTCTCAAAACAAAGGCTTTCAAGGTTCTTTGTGCGACTAAACTTTTACCTGGCCGTGTTTCGGGAAAGACGAAATTCCGAGAACGGCTGCCACAGAAATCCCCCAGTGAACTGAGGCCACAGAAACCCCCCAGTGGGTGCCCTAATGTTTTTCCTATAGAACTCAGCCACCAGTCAGTTCCCAATTCACTACATTTCCTGCACAAAATCTCTTTCTATGTTAGTCTATTGAGCTATATTGATTCTGTGGCCACCAAGCATTACATAAGGCACAAAGGCGACACAGATTGAATTGAGTTGGAGGATGGGCATTGCCAATTATTGTGAAAAGCCTCTCATTTCCGCTTTGGGTACCAGATGGGTCAGTCCTGCGAGTAATATCTATCAGCACATTGTGACAGGGATATTTCCAGAGCAGAATGTGTTATCCTGCAGAACACTATTGATTTAAGAGAGAGAGGGGCAGAGAGAGAGAGACATAAAGAAGGAGAGGGGGGGGGGGTGACAGAGAGAGAGAGGGAAAGAGGGAGAACGTCAGCGAGGGAGTGAGTCTGTGGCTGCTGCAGACAGAATGGAAAGTGACTGGCCCTCTGCGGCTCTCTGCCTTTACTGTCCCTGCCAGTTTCCAACCTCCACCACCCTACTCTGCCTCTCCGCCCCCCTGCTCGGCTTTCCCCACCCCCCAGCCCTCCCCATCCTCCCCTCTAGCCACCCATCCTTCGGGCCCCCCCAGGGCTCCCTAATAGCCTCACCTCCTCTGGGACTCCAGGCCGTTATCCATGGCCTTCACGGTCAGGGCATAGGAGCGTCCCACTGCCAGGGAGACGCCAGGCATCACAGTGATCACTCCCGAGCGGTTATTGATGACGAAGTGGCCTTGATTCCCCGCTAGGATCTTGTAAGTCACCAGCCCGTTGGGACCCTCGTCAGCATCCAGGGCTGTCAGCTGAAAGGGATACAGGAGAGGAGCCACATCATTTTTTCATTCAAGTCTCCATCGGCAGTGTCCGCAGGTGTCCTAGGCCTAGGGACACCTGTAGGGGAAGGCAATCTAAACCAATATTTTCCCCACATTTCAAGGAACATGCAAATGTTTGATTCATCGCTGATATTATTTTTAAATATACTGTATCAAATGCGTAATTAAATGTCTTGTGTTGGGGGCGTATAAAAAATTCATAGCAAAATCAGTCAGTGAATTTGAAATAAGAAAGTAGAAACTGCTACCAACTTCAAACACAGAAATACCTTTTAACATTAGCATAGTCTCAGTATAACATACAGCACTTCATATTCAACGCACTGCGATGTGTAAAAAAGTGGCCACACATGAATAGAAATCTCAAAACATGAATGTGTTTAAAAGGAGCAGAAAGCTACAGTATGTGACTAAACAAGAGCATGACTACATATGTCATCCCCCATTTGTCATTCTAAGACTTTACACACTGTAACTCAAAGATGGCTCTAACTAATTACATTTTTGTCATTTAGCAGACGCTCTTATCCAGAGCGACTTACAGTTAGTGAATACATATTTATTTTTTAATACTTGCCCCCCGTGGGAATCAAACCCACAACCCTGGCATTGCAAACGCCATGCTCTATCAACTGAGCTACATCCCTGCCGGCCATTCCCTCCCCTACCCTGGACGACACTGGGCCAATTGTGCGCCGCCCATGAGTCTCCCGGTCGCGGCCGGCTGCGACAGAGCCTGGATTCAAACCAGGATCTTTAGTGGCACAGTTAGCACTGCGATGCAGTGCCTTAGACCACTGTGCCACTCAGGAGTACAACTAGACAATGATTCAGTCACAAACCCCTCATTAAGTCATTCAACAGACAAAGAGTTAACTCATAACTGTCCTTATCAATGCATGTTTCTGAAGCCTAACCAGCCTAACCTGGCTTGCTATGAGAGGAAGTCTTCTGATTGGAAAGATTTAACTGCCTAGACTTGACCTTTTCCGTCAGTCTTTTGTTTCCTGCGAGTATCAGAGCGACTGACTGAACTGGGTTCATGCTCAGACTGCGAAACAGGAGTTATAACAAATTACCCACAATCGTCCCTGGGCACAGAGGGGAACAGCCTATGGCAGCAGCCTGCTTAGAGCTAAGCCAAACAGTCTGCTGCCACAATTATTCCAGCTATAATTAATTTATAAAATAGGTTTACTAATGCTATTACTCTAAGTGGGTGGATTGTTTGGGAAAACAGCAAGTGAATATAGCATATTGATTACCTGTAATACAGTTTCCCCAGGCTGAATGTCTGTGTAAACATTAACACTGTATGAGGCGTTGGGGAAGGTTGGTGTGTTGTCATTGGCATCAATCACAGTGATATGAACAGTCACTGTAGGGCTCTCCTGAACTCCGTCTGAAGCCACCATCTATAGAGAAGAGAGAGGGGGGCAGGAGGGAGAGAGAGAGAGACAGAGAGAGAAAGGGAAGGAAAGAAAAGGGGAGAAAGAGAGAGAGAGAGAGAGAGAGAGAGAGAGAGAGAGAGAGAGAGAGAGAGAGAGAGAGAGAGAGAGAGAGAGAGAGAGAGAGAGAAAGAGTGAGATAAATTATCAAACACCTTCAGAGAAACCATTGAGGAATGAACTTTTGAACAGCCTGTTGAGAATATCTATGAAATGTTCAAACAATGCTAATTCATGACATACTGTACATGTATACAGTAGAGAATTCCACAAACTATATAACCCATGACATGTTCTGTCAAGTCACAAACAACGGGATAGACCCTGAGAGTCACAGTTACAGGAGAGAAAAGGAAGATAAGGATGGTGACCAATGGTAAAGAAATGCAAGATTGAGAGCAATATCCTTATTAAAAGTGGCTTACACAGGCTTTAGAGATATTAATTCATCCCACTGACTAAACAGGGCCTATTGGCTTAAAAACAACTTACAGTAATAAAGACTACAATGCTCTTACAACTCCAATCATGATTGGCATACCAATGTTGTTTTTTTCATTAGCTAAAGTGAACAGTCCCTTTAATGTGGCATTGCTAATTAATACTCTTAAGCTTCACTAATTTGTGTGTGTGTGTGTGTGTGTGTGTGTGTGTGTGTGTGCGTGTGTGTGTGTGTGAGAGAGAGAGAGAAGCTGTATCTGACTGTGAACTTCCACATAGAACACAACCGCTCACATGGATTAAACAAGACTAACATAGGCTTAAAAAATAAAGAACATGCTACAAGCGTCAAACAGCGAGAAAAGCACAATGATCCTCAGTTGAGCAGGAGATAAAACACCATCTATCCCACTGGGATGTTCAAAGCTCTCCCCATTAACTTTTCGAATTAAAGCTACTTATTTTGCCACCATTGTGATCTTCCCTGAAAAACAAAGACAGAAGCAGCTAAAAAAAGAACACCGGTAAACACAGTGGTAAGTGCTAGCGAAAACCGGAATCGAAAGACATCCCTTTAGTATTTCTTAATGTCTATTGTGCTTAGCAACACCACACTTCAAAGTCTTGACAGGATAGCGCTGCGGGCTCCTCCACTGTTCCAGCAGGATGTAGTGGTGGGGAGAGAAAACGTCAAAGTGTTGTTTTCCCCTCTGAGTTTCCGGTGCAATACTCTACCCTTGACATTATGAGGCAACCTGCACCAGTCAGACAGAGTCTTTTGTTTGGTTTTAGTCTGAGACAAGCTAGCATTATAAAAACCTCTACCAGCTCCCAACAACATAACAGCACAAATCCTCTAGGCAAGACAGAGGCAAAATGATTATTTTAAGCATTAAGCCATCATTAGGTGGGTAGTGGTTGTTGTAGCTGTCGTTGTATTTGACTGGCAGGAAGGGTGTCTTGCAGGGTGGGTGGCATAACAGATTCAGTGCCATTTTCCATTTGAATAAACTCAAGTAAACATACCCTGACTGAATATGTATTGGAATGAAAACACATCGAAACACATCCACATGGATATCTTCATGGTAATGATGGAGAGGGGAAACACATATTGAGGCGCTGACTGACTGGGTAGCATTCGTATGTGAGACGGATCCATAATTTAACTCAGCGTAGTATCAGCATGGGTTGGACTGACTCTCAGAAGCCTTCCCAGACAAGCGTGCTTGGTCTCAGTGTTTTAATCATTCTGTGACTGCCAGGACAAGGCCAACTCTGAGTGATCGAAATGCTAACAGAATGCTAAATCCACGTCCCCCAGAATTAGGGCTGTAGGGAGCAGTACACCAACATTTGCATTCAGTCTTCTGGATCATCTTCGCACTATTTTTTCACATTCTGATGTTTTTTTTGGAAAACTGAGTTGAACCTACTCTTGAATTACAAACAGACACACAAACCTCAATATATAGAGAAAATAGTATTAGCATACAGCCAGACAGGCACAGTCAATAGATAAGACATTGCCTTATCAAAAAGAATGGCGGGGATGGCTGCCGTTTTACGGCTCCTAACTGATTGTGCTATTTTGTGTATTTTTTCGTACTTATTTTGTATATAATGTTGATGCTACCGTCTCTTATGACCGAAAAGAGCTTCTGGATATCAGAACAGCGATTACTCACCTCGAACTGGAAGAAGATTTTTTCTTTAACGAGTCTGACGCGAAGGATATAATGTTGCTCCCAGACAAGGCCCAAATCCCTGTAATTCGCATTAAGAAAATAAGGAAATACAGGGGGCGGAGATTAGGCTGCCTTGTGAGAATTCATCGTCGAGTGGATAACCAGCCTCTACAATCCATTATATTGGCCAACGTGCAATCACTGGAGAATAAACTGGATGAGCTCTGTTCGGGACTATCCTACCAACGGGACAATAAAAACTGTACTATCTATGTTTCACAGAGTCGTGGCTGAACGACGACACTGATAATATACAGTTGGCTGGCTTTTCTGTGCATCGGCAGGACAGAACAGCGACGTCCGGTAAGACGAGGGGTAGGGCTGTGTGTCTATTTGTCAATAACAACTGGTGTGCGATGTCTAATATTATGGTAGTCTCGAGGTATTGCTCACCTGAGGTACAGTACCTCATGATAAGCTGTAGACCACACTATCTAACAAGAGAGTTTTCATCTATATTTTTCGTAGCCGTCTATTTACCACCACAAACCGACGCTTGCACTAAGACCGCACTCAATGAGTTGTTTAAGGCCAAAAGCAAACAAGAAAATACTCATCCAAAAGCCGCGCTCCTAGTGGCCGGGGACATTAATGCAGGCAAACTTAAATCAGTTTTACATAATTTCTACCAGCATGTCACATGTGCAACCAGAGGGAAAAGAACTCTAGACCACCTTTACTCCACACACAGAGACGCGTACAAAGCTCTCCCTCGCCTGACCATATCTGACCATAATTCTATCCTCCTGATTCCTGCTTACAAGCAAAAACTAAAGCAGGAAGTAACAGTGACTCACTCAATACGGGAGTGGTCAGATGACACGGATGCTAAGCAACAGGACTCGAATATGTTCTGAGGTTCATCCAATAGCATTGAGGAGTATACCACATCAGTCACTGGCTTCATCAATAAGTCCATCGACGACGTCGTCCCAACAGTGACCGTACGTACATGTCCCAACCAGAAGCCATGGATTACAGGCAACATCCGCACCGAGCTAAAGGCTAGAGCTGCCGCTTTCAAGCAGCGGGACACTAATCCGGACGCTTATAAGAAATCCCGCTATGCCCTCAGACGAACCATCAAACAGGTAAAGTACCAATACAGGAGTAAGATTGAATCCTACTACACCGGCTCTGATGCTCGTCGGCTGTGGCAGGGCTTGCAAACTATTACGGACTACAAAGGGAAACCCAGCCGCGAGCTGCCCAGTGACGCGAGCCTACCAGACGTGCTAAATGCCTTTTATGCTCGCTTCGAGGCAAGAAACTGAAGCATGCATGAGAGCATCAGCTGTTCCGGACGACTGTGTGATCAAGCTCTCCATAGCCGATGTTAGCAAGATCTTTAAACAGGTCAACATTCAGAAAGCCAAAAGGGTTACCAGGATGTGTACTCAGAGCATGCGCGGACCAACTGGCAAGTGTCTTCACTGACATTTTCAACCTCTCCCTGACCGAGTCTGTAATACCTACATGTTTCAAGTAGACCAGCATAGTCCATGTGCCCAAGAAAGCGAAGGTAACCTGCCTAAATGACTACCGCCCCATAACACTCACGTCGGTAGCCATGAAGTGCTTTGAAAGGCTGGTCATGGCTCACATCAACACCATCATCCCGGAAACCCTAGACCCACTCCAATTTGCATACCACCCCAACAGATCCACAGATGACGCAATCTCAATCGCACTCCACACTGCCCTTTCCCACCTGGACAAAAGGAACACCTATGTGAGAATGCTGTTCATTGACTACAGCTCAGCGTTCAACGCCATAGTGCCCACAAAGCTCATCACTAAGCTAAGGACCCTGGGACAAAACACCTCCCTCTGCAACTGGATCCTGGACTTCCTGACAGGCCACGCCCAGGTGGTAAGGGTAGGTAACAACACATCCGCCACGCTGATCCTCAACACGGGGGCCCCTCAGGGGTGCGTGCTCAGTTCCCTCCTGTACTCCCTGTTCACTCATGACTTCATGGCCAGGCACGACTCCAACACCATCAGGTGTTAAGGGTAGGCACCAACACATCTGCCATGCTGATCCTCACCAACAAACTATCATGGTCCAAATACACCAAGAAAGTCGAGAAGAGGGCACGACAACGACTTTTCCCCCTCAGGAGAATTAAAAGATTTGGCATGGGTCCCCAGATCCTCAAAAAGATATACAACTGCACCATCGAGAGCATCCTGACCGGTTGCATCACCGCCTGGTATGGCAACTGCTCGGCATCTGACCGTAAGGCGCTACAGAGGGTAGGGCGTACAGCCCAGTATATCACTTTGGCCAAGCTTCCTGCCATCCAGGACCTATATACTAGGTGGTGTCAGAGGAAGGCCCAAGAAATTGTCAAAGACTCCAGTCACCCAAGTCATAGACTGTTCTCTCTGCTACCACACAGCAAGCGATACCGGAGCACCAAGTCTAGGTCCAAAAGGCTCCTTAACAGCTTCTACCCCCAAGCCATTAGACTGCTCAACAATTAATCAAATGGCCACCCAGACTATTTGCATTGACACCCTCCCCCCTTTGTTTTTACACTGCTGCTACTCACTGTTTATTATCTATGCATAGTCACTATACCCCTACCTACAAATTACCTCGACTAACCTGCACCCCCACACATAGACTCGGTACCAGTACCCCCTGTATATAGCCTCATTATTTTTTATTATTATTATTATTATTTATATGTATTTTTACTTTAGTTTATTTACTAAATCTTTTCTTAATTTTCTTCAAACTGCATTGTTGGTTAAGGGCTTGTAAGCAAGCATTTCATGGTAAAGTCTCCACCTGTTGTATTCGGCACATGTGACAAATACAATTTGATTTGATTTGGATTTTATCCGATTGTTGAAAAATAAGGTCTCTCAATTCTAAAAACAGAGTGGTAAGGTGAGCAGGATAAATGGAACTCCAAAACCTCCAAAGTTTTTAGGACAAATTCCAATTATTGTTCAGATTACCTGGCACTTGACAATTTCAAAGCCTGACAAGACTACGGCTCTCAGGCTGAATGATACAGCTGTTAGCTGAAATTTCTTCAAATAAACAGCTATATCCGATCCAGAGGGAACAGCAAACAACCCAGTGCCAGTTTGAGCTGAGTGAAGAATACATTATCAAACATACGGAGGAACAGTACTGAGGTTAGAAGTGTGCTGTGCTGTGCTGACCTGTGCTGGCCTGTGCTGAACTATGCTGTGCTGTGCTTTCCTGTGTGTTGCTGTGCTGTGCTGTTCTGAGCTGTGCTATGCTGTGCTGAACTCTGCTGTACTGTGCTGTTCTGTGTTTTGCAGTGAACTATACTGTGCTGAACTACGCTGTTCTGAGCTGTGCTATGCTGTGCTTAACTGTGCTGTGCTGAACTTTGCTGTGCTGGACTGTGCTCTGCTGTTCTGTGCTGTGCTTTATCATGGTCTTACAGCTGGTAACAAGTGCACAAGCCAGCAGCGGTAACAAGTGCACAAGCCAGCAGCAGAGAGTATTACTCTTGCATGAAAGCTCAGTAGTTGGTGAGTACTGGTTTCATTATTGACACTTTGTAGGTGCTGGCTCAGGGGATTGCACAAATACTTAATGAGAGAGGCTACTGCATCACATTACATTAATTATTCACAATTTATCTTTTAGCACAATAACATTTTTCAATGAGTGCTTTTACACTGATTGCTTTCAATATTATGATTATTTTTTCTTCACTTTTTACTTACATATTGCAGTATGTAGGCCTACACAAAAACACTCAGACACACAGACACAGACACAGACACACACACACACACACACACACACACACTACATCAAATACAGGCCCTTTGCCAACTGGTTGTCTGGGCAGAGGGAAGCGGGAGACTTTCGTGTGAGCAACAATAGAGGAATATTATTTGAAGACAAACACCATTGTTCTATCCCAATGGTCATAAAGCTTGGGAAAGACAGTGTAATGCACTCCATCATTACCAGATAAAAACAAAAATAACCCTGCATTATGTTAGCTGAGAATACAATGTGGAATACATTTTACAAAGGATAGGACTGTCTTGTAAAAAATGAAGAAATTGTCCAGAAATGTCAGGAGCATTGGCAAACTAGTTACTGTGGGGTAAAAATCCCAGCTATGAATTTCAAGGAGCAAGGAAATAAGTATCTTGCTGATGTACTGTAATAGTGTATATGTAATAGTACTGTACTGATATACCTATTGCCATTCTAGCAGTGTTCATGAGCTTGCTACAAAAATACTGTATATGGGCATTAAGGGACAAGTGACTGAATTCCAGTTTACGATGTGCTGTGTTGTTTGACAGGTGCTAACTTAATTGTGGGGGGAGAAGAAGAGGAAGAGAGCGAGAGAGTGAGAGAGCGAGAGAGAGAGAGACAGAGAGTAGTGTTAGCTAGAGCTAGCCTTACCGTGAACGTATAGCTGTCTTGCTCTTCACGGTCCACAGGCTTCAGCAGTGTCAGGAAGCGAGTAATCCCCGAAGGTGTCACCATGAAAATTGTGTTGTAGTTGTCCAAGGATATCTGCACCATGGGATCTTTCATCTTCAAGGGAAGGAAAATAAATCACTGAATTTGTATTGGCAACAACAAGTCCACAAACAACAACTGACTGACTGGATTCTGATTGATGATAGCAAGGTGATGAAACCTAGTCAGTCAGTTTCAAATAAAAGTTTTAGAGACAAAGGAAATATAGAGTACCAGTCAAAAGTGTGGACACACCTACTCATTCAAGGGTTTTTCTTTATTTTTACTATTTTCTATATTGTAGAAAAATAGTGAAGACATCAAAACTACGCAAAAAAAATTAAATAATTGTTTATTTGTCACATGCGCCGAATACAACAGGTGTAGACCTTACAATGAAATGCTTACTTACAAGCCCTTAACCAACAATGCATTTTTAAGAAAGAATACCAACCCCCCCCAAAAAAATAAAAATAAGAAGAAATAAAAGTAACAAATAAATAAAGAGCATCAGTAAAATAACAATAAGGAGGCTATATACAGTTGAAGTCGGAAGTTTACATACACTTAGGTTGGAGTAATTAAAACTCATTTTTCAACCACTCCACACATTTCTGGTTAACAAACTATAGTTTTGACAAGTCGGTTAGGACATCTACTTTGTGCATGACACAAGTAATTTTTCCAACAATTGTTTACAGACAGATTATTTCACTTATAATTCACTGTATCACAATTCCGGTGGGTCAGAAGCTTACATACAGTAAGTTGACTCTGCCTTTAAACAGCTTGGAAAATTCCAGAAAATGATGTCATGGCTTTAGAAGCTTCTGATAGGCTAATTGACATCATTTGAGTTGATTGGAGGTGTACCTGTGGATGTATTTCAAGGCCTACCTTCAAGCTCAGTGCCACTTCGCTTGACATCATGGGAAAATGAAAAGAAATCATCCAAGACCTCAGAAAAAAAATTGTAGACCTACGCAAGTCTGGTTCATCCTTCGGAACAATTTCCAAAAGCCTGAAGGTACCACGTTCATCTGTACAAACAATAGTACGCAAGTATAAACACCATGGGACCACGCAGCCGTCATACCGCTCTGGAAGGAGACGCGTTCTGTCTCCTAGAGATTAACGTACTTAGGTGCGAAAAGTGCAAATCAATCCCAGAGCAACAGCAAAGGACCTTGTGAAGATGCTGGAGGAAACAGGTACAAAAGTATCTATATCCACAGTAAAACGAGTCCTATATCGACATAACCTGAAAGGCCGCTCAGCAAGGAAGAAGCCACTGCTCCAAAACCGCCATAAAAAAGCCAGACTACGGTTTGCAACCTCTGGTCTGATGAAACAAAAATAGAACTGTTTGGCCATAATGACCATTGTTATGTTTGGTGGAAAAAGGGGGTGCTTGCAAGCCGAAGAACACCATCCCAACCGTGAAGCACGGGGGTGGCAGCATCATGCTGTTGGGGTGCTTTGCTGCAGGAGGGACTGGTGCACTTCACAAAATAGATGGCATCATGAGGAAGGAAAATTATGTGGATATTTTGAAGCAACATCTCAAGACATCAGTCAGGAAGTTAAAGCTTGGTCGCAAATGGGTCTTCCAAATGGACAATGACCCCAAGCATACTTCCAAAGTTGTGGCAAAATGGCTTAAGGACAACAAAGTCAAGGTATTGGAGTGGGCATCACAAAGCCCTGACCTCAATCCTATAGAACATTTGTGGGCAGAACTGAAAAAGCGTGTGCGAGCAAGGAGGACAACAAACCTGACTCAGTTACACCAGCTCTGTCAGGAGGAATGGGCCAAAATTCACCCAACTTATTGTGTGAAGCTTGTGGAAGGCTACCCGAAACGTTTGACCCAAGTTAAACAATTTAAAGACAATGCTACCAAATACTAATTGAGTGTATGTAAACTTCTGACCCACTGGGAATGTGATTAAATAAATAAAAGCTGAAATAAATCATTCTCTGTACAATTATCCTGACATTTCACATTCTTAAAATAAAGTGGTGATCCTAACTGACCTAAGACAGGGAATTTTTACTAGGATTAAATGACAGGAATTGTCTGGGTAGCCATTTCATTAGATGTTCAGGAGTCTTATGGCTTGGGGGTAGAAACTGCTTAGAAGTGTCTTGAACCTAGACTTGGATCTCTGGTACCGCTTGCCGTGCGGTAGCAGAGAGAACAGTCTTGACCTCGACATGATCGTGAACTCTCTCATCAAGAACAGTCTTTGACAACTTTTAGGGCCTTCCTCTGACACCGCCTTGTATAGAGCTCCTGGATGGCAGGAATCTTGGCCCCAGTGATGTACTGGGCCGTACGCACTACCCTCTGTAGTGCCTTGCAGTCGGAGACTGAGCAGTTGCCATACCAGGGAGTGATGCAACCAGTCAGGATGCTCTCGATGTTGTAGCTGTATAACCTTTTGAGGATCTGAGGACCCATGCCAAATATTTTCAGTCTCCTTAGGGGGAATAGGTTTTGTCGTGCCCTCTTCACGACTGTGTTGGTGTGCTCCACTACAGCTCCATCGATGAGAATGGGGGCATGCTCGGTCCTCTTCTTTTTCCTGTAGTCCACAATCATCTCCTTTGTCTTGATCACGTTGAGGGAGAGGTTGTTGTCCTGGCACCACACGGCCAGGTCTCTGACCTTCTCCCTATAGGCTGTCTCATCGTTGTCGGTGATCAGGCCTACCACTGTTGTGTCATCGGCAAACTTAATGATGGTGTTGGAGTCGTGCCTGGCCATGAAGTCATGAGTGAACAGGGAGTACAGGAGGGAACTGAGCACGCACCCCTGAGGGGCCCCCGTGTTGAGGATCAGCGTGGCGGATGTGTTGTTACCTACCCTTACCACCTGGGCGTGGCCTGTCAGGAAGTCCAGGATCCAGTTGCAGAGGGAGGTGTTTAATCCCAGGGTCCTTAGTTTAGTGATGAGCTTTGAGGGCACTATGGTGTTGAACGCTGAGCTGTAGTCAATGAATAGCATTCTCACATATTCCTTTTGTCCAGGTGTGAAAGGGCAGTGTGGAGCGCAATAGAGATTGCATAATCTGTGGATCTGTTGGGGCGGTATTCAAATTGGAGTGGGTCTAGGGTTTCTGGGATAATGGTGTTGATGTGAGCCATGACCAGCCTTTCAAAGCACTTCATGGCTGCAGACGTGAGTGCTACGGGTCGGCAGTCATTTAGGCAGGTTACTTTAGTGTTCTTGGGCACAGGGACTATGGTGGTCTGCTTGAAACATGTTGGTATTACAGATTCAGACAGGGAGAGGTTGAAAATGTCAGTGAAGACACTGGCCAGCTGGTCAGCGCATGCTCAGGGTACACGTCCTGGTAATCCGTGCGCCTTGTGAATGTTGACCTGTTTAAAAGGTCTTACTCACATCGGCTATGGAGAGCGTGATCACACAGTCGTCCGGAACAGCTGATGCTCTCATGCGTGTTTCAGTGTTACTTGCCTCGAAGCGAGCATAGAAGTAATTTAGCTCGTCTGGTAGGCTCGTGTCACTGGGTAGTTCGCGGCTGTGCTTCCCTTTGTAGTCTGTAATAGTTTACAAGCCCTGCCACATCCGACGAGCGTCGGAGCCGGTGTAGTACGATTCGACCTTAGTCCTGTATTGACGCTTTGCCTGTTTGATGGGCATAGCGGGATTTCTTATAAGCTTCCGGTTTGAGTCCTGCTCCTTGAAAGCGGCAGCTCTACCCTTTAGCTCAGTGTGGATGTTGCCTGTAATCCATGGCCTCTGGTTGGGGTATGTACGTACAGTCACTGTTGGGACGACGTCATCGATGCACTTATTGATGAAGCCAGTGACTGATGTGGTGTATTCGTCAATGCCATCGGAATAATCCCGGAACATATTCCAGTCTGTGCTAGCAAAACAGTCCTGTAGCTTAGCATCTGCTTCATCTGACCACTTTTTTATTGACCGAGTCACTGGTGCTTCCTGCTTTAGTTTTTACTTGTAAGCAGGAATCAGGAGGATAGAATTATGGTCAGATTTGCCAAATGGAGGGTGAGGGAGAGCTTTGTACGCGTCTCTGTGTGTGGAGTAAAGGTGGTCTAGAGTTTTTTTCCCCTCTGGTTGCATATTTAACATGCTGGTAGAAATTAGGTAAAACGGATGTAAATTCCCTGCATTAAAGTCCCCGGCCACTAGGAGCGCCACCTCTGGATGAGCGTTTTCCTGTTTGCTTATGGCTGTATACAGTTCATTGAGAGCGGTCTTAGTGCCAGCATCGGTTTGTGGTGGTAAATAGACAGCTACGAAGAATAAAGATGAAAACTCTCTTGGTAAATAGTGTGGGCTACAGCTTATCATGAGATACTCTACCTCAGGTGAGAAAAACCTTGAGACTTCCTTAGATATCGTGAACCAGCTGTTGTTTACAAATATACATAGACCGCTCCAAACTTTGGACTGGTACTGTATGTGAGGATAAACACTCATAACATTTGAAATACGAAGTCATCTCACAGTTTTAAAATATTTGTTTATCAAACCATTTAGTTTCCATGAAATATGAATAAACTGTTTGTCCATGGTGGTGTTGAATGACAATGAAAAACATTTATGCAGCTCTTTGTACATAGTACGGTATTACCATGGCACTGATGTTGACATCCTTATCATATTTGGATACATACGTGTATGAATACAGACCAGTAATGAAAAGTCCAGCCTCATCCACTGCCTACCCCTATTCACTATATAGCGCACTACTTTTGACCAGAGCCCTATAGGAATTGGATACGCAAGCCAGTCCTTTTAATACAGGCCCATTCCAGACAGGCGACAGCCTTCATTACTAATATGCACCCCTCAGCACTGTGGATATTGTTGATGCTGCTTTAGTGGATATTGTTGATGCTGCTTTAGTGGATATTGAATTTACGCCGCTGCCCCTCCGGACGGAGAGAGACATAAATAAATTCAGCTGCGGCAAATAAAAGTAATTAGAATAATAATCACCACAAACACTTTTAACAAAGGGCTGTGTGTTATTAGAGGTCCCCTCTCCCAACACCCCGCACAGCGGGAGATGACAGCTTCCATCAGCATGGGGTTTCCCAAAATAATCCAACCCACATTGGCCTTAGCCTGCTCCAGATCGGCATGTGAGAAACAACTCCACTGGTTGTAAGGATCTGTAGACCAGGCTAAACCCATAGTATATACGTATATACAGCACATATGGCACTAGTAACAACTATACACAACTATATGCCTTATCAATGTAATACAGGCATCCATGTACTGTGGGAAACATTTTCATGAAGCTGGTTGAGAGAATGGCAAGAGTGTGCAAAGCTGTAATCAAGGCAAAGGGTGGCTACACTGAAGAATCTCAAATATAAAAAATATTTTGATTTGTTTAACACTTTTTTGGTTACTACATGATTTAATATGTGTTATTTCATAGTTTTGATGTCTTCACTATTATTCTACAATGGCGAAAATAGTAAAAATAAATAATAATAATAATATGCCATTTAGCAGACGCTTTTATCCAAAGCGACTTACAATCATGTGTGCATACATTTTTACGTATGGGTGTCCCGGGGATCAAACCCACTACCCTGGCGCTACACTGAAGAATCTCAAATATAAAAATAAAGAAAAACCCTTGAATGAGTAGGTGTGTCCAAACTTTGGACTGGTACTGTATGTGAGGATAAACACTCATAACATTTGAAATACGAAGTCATCTCACAGTTTTAATTTATTTGCCTATCAAACCATTTAGTTTCCATTAAATATGAATAAACTGTTTGTCCATGGTGGTGTTGAATGACAATGAAAAACAATTATGCAGCTCTTTGTACATAGTACGGTATTACCATGGCACTGATGTTGACATCCTTATCATATTTGCTGAATGCATTACAAAGTATACTAAGGATTTGTTGTTATCAATGCACTGTCTGTCCACAGTATCTGTATGGCTGTGTCGCGGAGTGTTGCGGGGTCTGTTGTGCCAATCTAAACATGCTTTCGAATGTTAAACCCCATAACTTTCCCTAATCCATCTGAAGTCCTGCAAGGCTTTGTAGTCCTTGTGTCGCGGTTGTGTTCTGCACACACAGAGCAACACCTGGATACATACGTGTATGAATACAGACCAGTAATGAAAAGTCCAGCCTCATCCACTGCTTACCCCTATTCACTATATAGCGCACTACTTTTGACCAGAGCCCTATAGGAATTGGATCCGCAAGCCAGTCCTTTTAATACAGGCCCATTCCAGACAGGCGACAGCCTTCATTACTAATATGCACCCCTCAGCACTGTGGATATTGTTGATGCTGCTTTAGTGGATATTGAACTTACGCCGCTGCCCTTCCGGACGGAGGGAGACATAAATAAATTCAGCTGTGGCAAATAAAAGTAATTAGAGTAATAATCACCACAGACACTTTTAACAAAGGGCTGTGTGTTATTAGAGGTCCCCTCTCCCAACACCCCGCACAGCGGGAGATGACAGCTTCCATCAGCATGGGGTTTCCCAAAATAATCCAACCCACATTGGCCTTAGCCTGCTCCAGATCGGCATGTGAGAAACAACTCCACTGGTTGTAAGGATCTGTAGACCAGGCTAAACCCATAGTATATACGTATATACAGCACATATGGCACTAGTAACAACTATACACAACTATATGCCTTATCAATGTAATACAAGCATCCATGTACTGTGGGAAACATTTTCCTACATTACTACAAGTTCCTCAGGTTAGAGAAAAATAGATAATTGCACTTCAAAGACTAACCAAGCTAGCTACAAATTTAAACAAAAATCTATAAACAAGGCGTGAAGCGGAAACCATGTAACTAGAAGAATTGGATAGTTTAAAAAAGAGGCTGATCAGCAGAATAAGAGAGAAAGAGAACTTCACACTAGTAATCACTAATCACTAAGCACTAATGCATTGGCTAATACCTACAGGTTCATCACCAGGGAGGAGCTGAATTAAGAGAACAAAACAAAAAGTGTGATTGGACAACCTGCTCAACCAATGAGAACTGGGGGATGGTGTTAAAATGGGGTTAAAACAAAAGTCATGCATGTTCTTTGCTGATTCATTCCTATAGTATCATCTTGAAAGAGCAAATACCTTTTTTGAAGCTGACATACTTGGATCCTGGAACTGTATCTAGACAGTCACTTGAATCTATGTACTGTAACAAGATTAGCTCTCAATCTCTCTGCTCTTGACCTCGACATGATCGTGAACTCTCTCATCAAGATCTACAGCACTATTCCATAGAAAGAGTGTGTGTGAATGAATGACTGAAATAATGAATAAATGAATGAATAAATGAATGAACAAATTAATTAACGAATGAATGAACGAAGAGACTGGTCGGCTATGAGGTCTTACCTCCTCAATGTCGTTGTCCAGGACCTTGATGCCCAGGGGGGTGGTGAGGCTGACGTCGGTGAACAATGTGGTGCCCACTGGCGCTGACTCGATGATGAAGCCCTGGTACGTGGTCTCTTGAAAGTATGGTGCCTGGTTGTTCTCATCCAGAACCTCGATGTGGAGGTTAGCAAACGCAGGCAGGGGGTGGCCGTTGTCCTGCTCTGCCTGGAAAAGATAGAACAGGGTCGTGTTCATTAAGGCACAGCGTATAATTTATTTTGCAACAGAAAACGTAAATGTGTGTTCATATTGGACACGTTCAGGTAGCACCTTCCAGATTCACTTCTCCTTAATGAACATAACTGAGAACTACTCAATAAGTGCATGTAAGCAGCACTGAGGGTTTCACAACTGTTGCATTAGAGCACAAGTAATGCTGGGTTCATGGACTAAGCTTTCCAAAGATAACTGATTTAAAAAATGGGGTTGAATCCAAAACAAGGATACAGAAAATAACCAATTGGAATGACATTTGAGGATTTCGAAAGCAATCTTTGTGAGTGATACTTATTATTCCTAGCAGGGCTGTTTGTTCTCTCCATCAGTGATTTTGATCTAATCTATGGCCAATCAGCACGGTTGTGTCAATACAGAGTAATGAAACTGCCTTTGCAATTATTGATAATAACAACAGAAAGAGAGAGAGGGGCGGGTGACTGCTGGGCCCCTCGCATAAAAAATACTGTACATGACTGATTACCAAATGAATTCCTTCATTTCCAACATCAACCAGCTGAACGTTCCATAAGGCTCAGCCTTCAAAGGTTTTGTCATTATCCGTCCTCCTCCATAATTGATTACTAATGCTTGACCTGTGTCTATATATTAACCTGTTTTATGTGAACTAATTGAGATGGTGTTTGCCTGTCCTAGAATAGCCTAAATCACGTCCTGTTGAGCTCCATATGATGTCTTGTGTCCAGTCTTATCTTTCAAAAAGCTGATTGTCTACTCTCTGAATCCTCTAAACAGTGTGTTACATTGGTGACACCTGTGTTGTTGTTTTTTGCGTCTTTATGACTGTGGAACCGAATATTTGCTGAAGTTATCACTGGACCAAGGGACACGTGGCTAAATGCTAGCTAGCGTACCGAAGCAGCATCGCACAATGTTATTCTCATTTGTAGTGCACGATCATCTCCCTCACTGCTAGCTGTCGGACAAGCGAAGTATTGGACAGTGTTGGGGAAGCTACTCTGAAAATATAGTTTACCAAGATACCAATTACTTCACACTGGAATAAGTTAATTTACACTAAAGCTAACCTTAAGAAAAAGGTAGTTCACTATATCCAAACTATATACTTTGTGAAAAATGATCATATCTAAATCTGAAATGTCATAGACTACAAATTGCAAGAAAGATCACTCTGGAATCAGATGTTAACCGAATGTGTAATTTTGCCTATTAAACACAAAAAATGAGAATTAAGCAGGTCTGATGCTGAAAAAGAAAAAAAATATTGCCTATTTTACCCATATTTTATTTTTGCAAAAACTAGTAGTGTGTAGTTTCAGTATTTAGCTACACAAGGGGTTCACACCCCTTTTGTTGGCGGAGAACACATTTAGCAGTTTAAAGCTTATTTCTTGCAAGTCTACACATTTTGTCATGGGGTGCAAATACATTTGTTCAGTTTTAAATCAAATTTTCTTGCAATTCTATACATGTTGTCATGTATAATGTGTATTCATGTGATATTTAAATTACTTGAATATTACTGCAAAAAATATGGGCAAAGAAACCTAGCTAAAAAACATTAGCTGACATGGGCTAGTTGACATTTCTGACAAGTTACAAATAGATCTCTAAGGCAATGTGTCAAACTCATTCCACGGAGGGCCGAGTGTCTGCGAATTTGTCACGCCCTGGCTCGGGGGACTCTCGTATGTTGAGCCAGGGTGTTAGTTTCTATGTTTTGCATTTCTATGTTGGCCAGGGTGGCTCCCAATCAGAGACGGCTGTAGCTCGTTGTCTCTGATTGGGAGTCATACTTAGGTAGCCGTTAGGCTTTCATTCTTTGTGGTTTCTTGTTCCGTGTTGGTTTGTGTTGTAACCAGGGACGTCACGTTTTCGTTTTGTTGTTTTTGTTCGTGTGTTCATTCATTTAATAAAATGTTCGCATTCAACGCTGCGCCTTGGTCCTCCTCTGTAGATGACGATCGTGACAGAATTTTTGCTCCACCCTTGTACAGTGGCTTGCGAAAGTATTCACCCCACTTGGCATTTTTCCTATTTTGTTGCCTTACAACCTGTAATTAAACATTTTGGGGGGTTTGTATCATTTGATTTACACAACATGCCTACCGCTTTGAAGATATATTTTTTGGGGTGTGTCACGGATTCTGCCGAGGCTGCTCCTCCTCCTTGTTCGGGCAGGCTTCGGCGGTCGTCGTCCCCGGAGTACTAGCTGCCACCGTTGAATGTTTCGATGTTTGATTGCTTTTGTCTGTCTGTTGCACCTGTGTCCGTTTGTGTCTAATTGTGTGTCCTATAAGTTGCCTGTTTGGTGTTGGTTAGTTTGTGTGTTGTTATTCGCCTGTCCGTTAATGCTGCGTGTTTTCTCTGTTTATTGTTTTATTGGTTTACGCACAGTTTGCGTAATCGCTTGCCTCTGTTTTTTGTTTGAGGCCGTTCATTGTATTGTGCTTTGGTTTGCACTAGTAAACTTTGTTGGACTAAGCTTCGGTGTCCTGCGCCTGACTCCCACACCACATTAACCTCAGCCTTTTGACAGAACAACACACCTTTTATGGAGTCAGCAGGAGCAGCGGCGGGCCCCAAGTCGCTGGAGGATTGGATCAGCGACCAAGCCACCATGATCCGGCAACTTGGGGCCGCCATGAACGAGGTGTCCAACACGCTGCGCCGATTGGTTACGGGAGAGGTGCCCACGCCTTCGCACACCTTACCATCACCATCGGCCAGTCCTCCTCTCCCAGCACCGGAACCCAGTGGCATTCGGCTCTCGCTCCCGAGGGCATATGATGGTTCTGCAGCCGGGTGTCAAGGGTTCCTCCTGCAGGTGGAACTCTACCTGGCCACCATACACCCGGCGCCCTCGTGATACGAGAGCGTCTCCGCCCTCATCTCCTGTCTATCCGGCAAGGCGTTGGAGTGGGCCAACGCCGAATGGAGGGGAATAGACGCCGCCACCATCACCTACGCGGAGTTCTCCTGCCGCTTCAGGGCTGTGTTCGATCATCCACCTGAGGGGAAGGCGGCGGGGGAGCGTCTGTTCCACCTCCGACAGGGGAAGAGGAGTGCACAGGAGTTCGCCCTGGAGTTCCGGACTCTAGCGGCGGATGCGGGGTGGAATGAGAGGGCCCTCATCGACCATTACCGGTGTAGCCTACGAGAGGACGTTCGTCGTGAGCTGGCCTGCAGGGACACCAACCTATCCTTCGACCAGTTGGTGGACATTTCCATCCGTCTCGACACCCTGCTGGCTACCCGCGGACGTCCCGAGTGGGGGTCGTCCATTCCACCCTCCAGCACCTCCGAGCCGGTTCCCATGGAGCTCGGGGGTGCTGGCGCTAGGGAGAGGAGGAGAGAGAACCCGAGGGGGGCCGTCCCCTGCACCAACTGTGGCCGTGGAGGACACACTGCGGCTAGGTGCTGGGGAGGGTCTCCTGGGAGAGGGGACAACAGGTCACGCACTGGGGAGTCATTTCAGGTGAGTAGGCGTCCCACTTACCCAGAGCTCTCTGTTGGTCACTTGTGTATACCTGTGAGATTTCCACAGGTGGCACCTCATTTCCAGCATAAGGCGCTAGTAGATTCAGGCGCAGCTGGGAACTTTGTTGATCGTGAATTTTGTTATAGGTTAGGAATTCCCCTTCGGCCGGTAGAAGCCCCCTTTCCTGTTCATGCCCTAGACAGCCGGCCGCTGGGGTCGGGGTTGATCAGAGAAGTCACAGCACCACTTAAGATGACGACGCAGGGGGGTCATGAGGAGATCATTCAGTTTTATCTGATCGACTCTCCTGCGTATCCCGTGGTGCTGGGGCTTCCCTGGTTAAGCGCCCATGATCCTACCATTGCGTGGCAACAGAGGGCTCTTATGGAGTGGTCTGCTCAGTGTGTAGGGAGATGTCTAGGTGTTTCCTTAGGGGCGACCTCGGTGGAGAGTCCGAACCAAGTGCCCGCAATGCGCATTCCCCCTGAATATGAGGATTTAGCACTTGTGTTCAGCAAAACGAGGGCAACACGGCTACCACCTCATAGACAGGGGGATTGTGCGATAGATCTCCAAACAGGAGCGGCACTTCCGCGGAGCCGTGTGTATCCCCTGTCTCAAGAGGAGACCGCGGCTATGGAGACTTACATAGCCGAGTCCTTGGCACAGGGATACATACGGTCCTCCACTTCCCCGGTTTCCTCGAGTTTCTTCTTTGTGAAGAAGAAGGACGGGGGTTTGCGCCCGTGTATTGATTACCGTAGTCTCAATCAGATCACGGTTAAGTACAGTTACCCTCTTCCTCTGATTGCGACTATGACGGAGTCATTACGCGGAGTGCGGTTCTTCACAAAGTTAGATCTCAGGAGCGCGTACAATCTGGTGCGCATTAGGGAGGGGGATGAATGGAAAACAGCATTTAGCACCACCTCGGGTCATTACGAGTATCTCGTCATGCCATACGGGTTAATGAATGCTCCTTCAGTCTTCCAATCCTTTGTTGACGAGATTTTCCAGGACATGCATGGGCAGGGTGTGGTAGTATACATCGACGACATCCTAGTGTACTCTTCTACACGAGCCGAGCATGTAGCCCTGGTGCGCCGAGTGTTGAGGAGGCTGTTGGAGCATGACTTGTATGTTAAGGCAGAGAAATGCTTGTTTTTCCAGGAGTCCGTCTCCTTTTTGGGTTATCGATTGTCCGCGTCTGGTGTGAAGATAGAGGTTGACCGTGTGTCGGCCGTGCGTAATTGGCAAACTCCAACCACTGTAAAAGAGGTGCAGCAGTTTTTGGGTTTTGCTAATTACTACCGGAGGTTTATCCGGGGCTTTGGACAGGTGGAAGCTCCCATTACGTCCCTGCTAAAGGGGGGTCCGGTGCGTTTGCAGTGGTCAGCTGAGGCGGACAGGGCATTTGTTAAACTAAATAACCTGTTCACTTCGGCTCCGGTGCTGGCGCATCCGGATCCCGCTTTACCATTCCAAGTTGAGGTAGACGCGTCCGAGGCCGGTATTG